GGTCATGGGTACCAATCACGCAGTGCTGACGACTATGCGTGGCATTTAAAGAAGACAGGCCCAGTCTATCAGGTGTCGGATCTGAGACAGAGGAGCTGTGTCCATGTGGAGCTGCACGTTGTTTTGGGGGTGTGGACCTGAAAACAGGTTTGAGTGTGGTGAATAGTAAGGTGTATTTGGTCCTAGGTGTTTAAAGGGAGAGCCCCCCGTTCCTCCCATCTGCCTTCTCTCTGTGTCTGGGCTGCAGAAGAGCCTGCTGATTTATGCCAAGGCTTGGGATGAAGTGAGGCGGGAAGCCTGGGATCCCTGGAGAATCCTCTAATTTAAGAGCCTTCTCTAATGTTATTAGCAGGAGGAAATACAAGGAACTAAATTGGAGGAGACGGCTGGCAAGTGCATTACAGTGCAGTAAACAATAGCTGAGCAGCCTCAGACACCATCAAGGCATCTCCTACGACCCAGTGCCGAGGGCATGGATGGTTCCAAGTGGACATCTGGCTGCTTCCATGCTGGGGAGCACAAGGCTGGACCGTGGGCTCCACAGACCCCAAAGCACCTTCCCTGGGTCAGGTCCTGGCTATGGCAGAAGGTTCTGGGGCCTGACAGCAATCACACAACATCCTGCCCCCAGGACTGGATTTGTGGGTGTTGCTCACCAGCTTAGAGTTCCTGCCCGCCGGGGAAATCCTGCATTGAAAGTTGGTTGGTCTGCAGTGCCTGAAAAGCGTGTCTATGAAGTGGGATTCCCCCTGGCTCCAGGAAGGGGCCCACTCCTCCCAAATCAACTGGCTGCAACTCATCTGACTCTTCGATCATCCAAGGAGAGACAAGGCAATATCCTTTATCTTAGTATTAAGTAACTAATATTCAATAATCTTCTGCTAGGGCTTTAGGCATTGATGTCTGAAGGAGAAAGCAGGAGAGAATGGAGACTAAAGAATCCAGAGTTTTCAGAAAACAGAAGCCCAGAACTCCATGTGGGTCTCCCATGGGGGTGGCGGGAACCCAACCACTGGAGCTTCCCAACCACGTCTACTTTCCAAGGTGCGTGTTAGCAGGAATCTGGATTGGAAGCAGAGGTGGGTATCAAACCAACACTCTCCAATAGGAGATACACACAACTCAAGGAGTAACTTAACTACAGCACCAAAACCTTCCCCATTGGCAGGATTCCAAAAACCCAATCTATCTGTCCAAAGACACTGCAGGTTTGGTCTCTACCAGCAAAAGCCCTAAACGTAGAGGCAGGAGACAAGATCGCAGCCTTCAGCTCTGCCTCATAGCAGCTATGTGGCTTTGGGAAGGTCCCTGGCCCTCACTGCAAAGGGGAAGGGAGGCCACATCCATTTCAGGGTGCTGTGAAAATTACCTAAATTGGGCTTGTACTCCTCTCTCAATACTATCGTCCTTGGGTCTGCGCTTCTACCTTCTGGAAACTGTGCAACCTGCATCTGTTTGGATAAATGTTGAGCTGAGTAAGTCTACAGACCGTAAGTGAGGCCAGCCAAGCCCAAGCTGGATCAGCTGACCCTTGATCAGTCCACAACTGTGCAAATCAGTAACAAATGACATTCAAACCACCAAGTGTTAGGGTGGTTTCTTAGCTATAGAGATTGAGCTTGAAGCCCAGATTTAGAACTCCTGACATTCTTACCAATTGCCTTCTTTGACAGAAACCACCCTGAGCTGAGTGTCACAGTCAGCTCTCCTCAGCGAACCCTTCAGTGGATCTTGCGTGCTGCGCGTGCTAGAGCCCAGTCGAGTATTATAAGCCGGCGACACCCTTGGGGGTTAGCTACACGACAAGCGTTCCACATCATTCCTTCTGAAACCTCAGACCTCATCCCCTGTTCATCATCACCTGCCTTATGATCTGTCTTCCCTTGCTGTTGTCACTGTGCCTAGAGCTGCACTGTCTCCCTCATCTACAGGAACTCACCGCACGTCAGCAAGGGGCCAAAGTCAGAGGCAGTGGGCTATGAGTAAGGCCCAGACGCATTTTTTTTGTATTTGTGTTTCAACTGCTTGTGCACTCACACTGGGATTCTTGTCTACAATGGCCTCTGATGCTTTTGGCTCCCTCCCTGGTTCTCCTCTGCCATCCAGCAGCGGTGGCTGCAGGCAGTGAGCTTTTACCCAAAGAGCTGGTACCTTGTTGGAAGGGCTGGCTGAACCTGCAGAGTCAGCACCTGCCGGCAGGCCTGTAGAGTCAGCACCTGCCGGCAGGCCTGCAGAGCCCCGCCTCCATCATGGCTGCCTCTGAGGCACTCAGCCCAAGGTTGCTCAAGTCCCAGATGAAGTATCCCCAGAAGGCCCCTGGAGTAGAAACCACATCCTCCTAGTCTCTGGGTCCCCGGTGGACTCATCACAGTGCCAGGGATTCAGCAGGACTCACGAAGGGACAGGGTTAGAAGAAAAGAGTTTCCTGAAGGCTGTCACGTCTATGCCCAATAGATCGCCCCCTGGCTTCAGCTGGGTTTGACCAGTGGGTGGCTGTGGCAGCAGGTGTAGAATGGGAGGAGAGACGGGTGAGTCTTTATTCTCCACTCTCCTGCTGGGGTAGGGGGGCCTCTCCTACAAGACTCCACACTTCCCTGGGATCACTTCCCGTTTTATCCTCTTTCCCTTTCAAGCACAAAAGCACAGATTCTGGCAGGTGCTGATCTCTAGGGGCCCAGTCCCAGTTCCAGCTCTGAAAGTGATGCCCTCTCTTAGATGTTTGCTTTTCTCCCTGGCATTGCCCTGACTGGCACAATGTGCCAAAACCCATGCCCTGAGATGTGTCTAAGCCATGCCAGGGCATTCTATAGAGCGAGGGGTTTGAAGATAGTCACAGGATTGTATCCTTCCAGCTTTCAGAACTCCTCAGTCACTTTGGTTTTACCTAAATACAGTAATGAGGGGTTGGGTATTTCTTATTTGAAAGGCAGATTTACAGAGAGAAAAGAGAGAGAAAAAGAGATCTTCCATCTGCTGGTTCACTCCCCAAGTGGCCACAATGACTGAAGCTGAGCTGAGCTGAAGCCAAGAGCCAGGAGCCTCTTTCTTTATTTGTCTCCCACACAAGTAAGTGCAGGGTCCCAAGGCTTTGGGCCATCTTCCACGCCACAAGCAGGGAGCTGGATCAGAAGTGAAACACCTAGGACATGAACCGGCATCCTTGTGGAACACCAGCAAGAGGTTGGGCATTTCATACAAGTGTTAAGGCACTGCTTGGGATGGCTAATTCTGTACTGGAGTGCTGGGAAGAGTCCCAGGTCAGCTTCCGCTTCCAGCTTCCTGCCAACGTGCACCCTGGGCAGCAGCAGATGGTGTTCAGCTACTTGAATTCCTACCACCCAGCGGGAGGCCAGGATTGGGTTCCAGGTCCTGGATTCCTGGCTTTGGCCTAGCCCAGCCTTTGTCTGTCTTTTTCTCCCTTTCAAATAAAAATTTAAGAAATGTAAGAAAGTAATACAACATGATGGTGTCAGCTTAGCAATGAGCAAAGTTTCTATTAATGAATCCATCAATTATTGTGCCAGGCATTTGCCTTCACCCCCCACCCCAATTATTAATATATTTTTAAAGCCCTGTTGATATGCAAAGACAGAGAAATTCCATTCACTGGTTCAAATGCCTGCAACTGCCAGGGACTAGGTCAGGCCAAGCCAGGAGCCAGGAACTCAATCTGGGCCAGCGATGTAGGCAGCAGGGGCCCGATGGTCACGGTCCTTGCCCACAGGATGCTTCTAATCCAATGCTAGCTGCCTCCTCCAAGTCTGAGAGCCCGCCCAAGGCAGGATGGACAATGGGAATCCAATATTCCTTAACCCCTGAACCTTCAGCCACTTCTTTAAGAAATCTATGAGCCAAACAAGTTTGTGAACAACCGCATGACACCAAACTCACAACCTTAATGGAAAATAGTGATTTTACCCTCTGACCGGAGTCTGGTGGGAGGCAACTTGCTGTTCTCGGTTGGAATCCATTGAGGGGGATCCACTTGGCACACCCCCAGATGGCACAGCCGTTCACCTTGCCAGCCTCCCTTCCCCCACATTTTTCCCTGTTCAGCCCTTCACGCTTTTATAATTAGCTGCACACCAGCGGTCAGATCACTTCCCTTGGGCATGTAACTCGGCTAGGGGGAGGAGCTGGGTTTTTTATGAATGGACTGGGGTGTGGACTGGATCGGGAGATAAACCTCCACAGCCAGAATGGCTGCAAATGACAGCGAGACTTCTGCCTCTACAGCCAGGCCCCGTGGGAGGGAGGGAGGAGGGCTCGACTCCCAGGCCCCTGGGGGTGCGCCCTCCCCAAGGGTGGTGTGAAGGGTGGGCAGTGAAACCCAGGATCTGCAGGCCTCTCCAAAGCTCCCCTCATCAATCCCCAGGAAAGTCCCAACAAGTTACACCAGCGACTCAGTGTGTCCCCTGCCAGGGTCAGGCAGGACAAGGACAACAGCCTGGAGCCCACAGCGGGGCCGGCCAGGCTGGCCCCCTGCCCACAGCTCCACTCACACGTGGACGTTGTCTGCAGCCCCCGGTTTGGGTCTGTCTGCACCTGCAGCTGCCTTGTCTGAGGCCAACTGCAGGCTCACCCTAGCAAGGCTTGCAGGCTCAAGAATCCATTCCTGCAGCCACAGGGGGACCCCGGCCTCCCTGTGTGGGCAGGGACCCAGCCCCCTTGGAATGGATCAGCTTGGAACTCCCCCAAGGAGTTCACATCTCTCTCCTTGGCACAGGTCTCTTTTGAGCTATCTCTGGAGGTCCTGACCGAAAGGCGACCACAAGACAAACGGGAAGAGAAGGAGAGAGGTAGCAACAAATGCTAGAGAATCCGGGCAGGGGTCAGTGGCACAGAGAACAGGAGCGGCTTTCAAGGCCAGCTCGGGTGACAGGAAGCAACAGAGGAGGCTGGCGGTGCCCTCCCAGTCTCTACCCGCACAATTATATGGACCCCTCACGCAGAGCCCCGAGAGAGAGGGAGAGGAGAAGGTCCTGGGCAGTATCGTTTACCTGCCGAGATGGGGAGGACGCTGCTAATGAATGCTGGTTGAGACACGATGGAGCGCAGGAAAAGCTGAAGATAAATTCCCAGGGTCATTGGATTCAGGACCACCATGCTGGCCGGGGGCTGCAGGACGGCAGGGGAGCCAGGCAAGGCTGCCACCGAGCCCTGCTCACTCCTGCCTGGCTTCTTCGCTGCTGCCTCTCTCTCTCTGTCTCTCTCTCTTTCTCCCTCCCTCTCCCCCTCTCACCCTCCCTCACTCTCCTCTCCCCCTTCCACCCCCCCCACCAGAAAGAATGCCAACCATTTCCCATTAAACCTTCTCCATACTACACAGGGTTATATTTATCTCAAGCATTGGATCAAATGCCCACATTAAAATGAAGCTGTCAGAATTTTCTTTTTTGGAGGCTGAGGTCAGTGCCGTTGGAGAGAGTGGATGAAGAGGCAGCCGTGGCTCTGCCTCTGCCAAGGGCAGGGGTGTCTCCTGGTGGATTACACCCCACATCCACCTGCTGTGAACTCAGCGTTCCTACAGCTCCAGGGCCACTGGGGCCCATGCTCTCTCAACCCCAGTGTCCCTGTGTCCCAGAGGCGAGACCCCTGCCACCAGCCCCAAGATGGTGCTACTGCTCCAGCTGATCAGCCTGAAGGTGTGTTTGTTTTCATTGCCCTACAAGAGGGGATTGCTGTTTCTGAAACTGCATCCCTATTGCTCCAAAAACGCCACCTTTTCGTCCCACACAAAGTCCCATGCAGGACAGCAGTAAGTGACTAGGAAAGGAAATGATTGCACTGCAAGCTAAGCCAGGAATCACCAACAAGTTTATGAAAACTATGCATAAAAAATAAACCTGCCTGGATTTTGCATTTCTTGCACCCAAACTTCTCTCTTTTAAAAAGATTCATTTATTATTTTTATTGGAAAGACAGATTTGCAGAGAGAAGCAGAGGCAGGAAGATCTTCCAACTGTCAGTTCACTCCCCAAATGGCCACAACAGCCAGAGCTGAACTGATCCAAAGCTAGGAGCCAGGAACTTCTTCCAAGTCTCCCACATGGATGCAGGGTCCCAAGGCTTTGGACCAACTTCCTGTGCTTTCCCAGGCCACAAGCAGGATGAGAAGTGGAGCAGCCAGGACATGAACCAGTGTCTGTAAGGGATCCTGGTGCTTGCAAGGGGAGGATTAACCAGTTGAGCCATTGTGCAGAACCCCACCCTCCCTCCAAAAAACTTATCTTTTAATTCCATTTTCACAGACTTTCTGAGGTTCCATCATATGTGTGGCAATCACACCATGGATGTGGCCTTGGGCTAGATGAACTTCTTCACAAAGAAATGGTTACCTCCTCTAATCAAATACCTTTCATGGGTTCACACAGCCTGCCATAGAGATTCCTAAAATAATTAAGAACAGTAGTCCACAGCATTGTTCATTTAGCCTCAATATACACAGCCTGTTCTCAGGGTGTCAGTGGAGTTGATTCAGAATTGGTTTGGGGTTGGTGGGCACAGGGTGGGCCGAGCGCTGACCCTCACCCTTGGAGCCGCCGCGGAGCAGGTGCGGCGGCTCACGTGATCACCACAGCTTTTTCACCAGGCTTGAGCTTGGCCCCGGCTCAGAACGGTGGTGGACAAATTGATCTCTCTGAGAAACCAATTCATCAGTGTTGCCTTTCTAGGTTCAGTAGGAAGGCTCACCACAGGATGAATCACACGTGAATTAGACATTGTTTGTGGAGACAGCGGGCCTGAAACCCAAGAAGCTCTGGTGGCAGCTCGCAAGCACCGCGCTCCTCCCAAGCACCGCGCTCCTCCCCTCCGCAGCAGGCAACCGCTGTCCCGTCCACCAGGTGGCTCTGCTTCCCATCGCGCCAACCTGGGCTGGTTTTGTGGCTTATCTTGACCTTGGCATGGTCTCTGTGTACCATTTCCGCACCTACATCTTCTGAGGCCCGGTAGCCATGGCTTTATCTCGTAAGTCATGCAGCCCAGCTTGGATTATTACAGAGCTGAGCTCATCTGAAGCCAGGGACCAGGAGCTTCTTTCAGGTCTCCCATGTGGATGTAGGATCTTAAGGCTTTGGCCCTTCCTACTCTGCTTTCCCAGGCCACAGGGAGGGAGCTGGATGGGAAGTGGAGCAGCTGGGACATGAACTGGCATCCATATGGGATCCCAGCACTTGCAAAGTGGGATTGCTTTTTGCCAGGCCCAAAAGCACAAATCTTCTACATGAAAGTGGCACATTGGATTTCATTTTTTTTTTTTAAGTTTAAACTTTATTTTTAAAGTAAATCCCTAATTTGGAAAGTTAACTCAAAAACTAGGAGAAAATACTTGCTAAACACATGTGTGATGGAAGATTTGTATCTCAAGTGCATCAAGAATGTTTGTTACAATTCAATAATAATATGGACAACTCAACTAAGAGAACTGGGCAAAAGATACGAATAAATATTTCATCAAAGAAGATGCGTAAACAGCAAAGAAGCACTCAAAAAGATACAACTTAACTTGTTTGGTCATTGGGGATTATAAATTAAAACCACAGTTGGTTACAATTGCGTAGATATCAGAGTGGCTCAAATGAAGACTGACACTTCCATGTGACTGGTGGAGTACAGCCACCAGGACCTCGACACACTGCTAGGAGCCACGAACAACTGACATTCGACAACAAACGGTTTGCCCATTTCTTCTAGTTTAATCTACATTTACAATGCAGTTCAACAAATACCTGCAACATTTATCCGAGAGAAATAAAACACATCCACAGAAAGCGAGGTGTTCATAGCCATTCTATCGTTATTGTTCAAACCAGAAACAGCTCAGGGCCATCAACTGATGAATGGATACACAAATCACAAGGGCACAAACGATACAAAGCCCGTTGGCCACAAGACGGAGCACAGTGAATAGCATGAAATGATTTCAGGCACATTCCGCTGCGAGAAAGATGCCAGCGAAATGGCCGTCTGTTCTGTATTCCACCTGCAGAACATTCAAGAAAACACGAAACGCATGCATGGAAACCAGGCCAGTGATTATCAGAGGGGACAGCAGAGTGGCCTGGGGAGTGTTTTCATGGAGATGGAATTGGTGATTTTATGCTTTGTCAAAACCTAATCAGTCTGTCCTCTTAAACAGGTGAGGTTTAGGGGCTGGCACCATGGCTCATCAGGCTAATCCTACACCTTCAGGCACTGGCATCCCTTATGGGTGGCAGTTCTTGTCCCAGCTGCTCCACTTTCCATCCAGCTCCCTGCTTATGGCCTGAGAAAGCAGAGGCAGATGTCCCAAGTTCTTAGGCCCCTGTTTGCCTGTGGGAGACCAGGAAGAAGCTGCTGGTTCCCAGCTTGCAATCAGCTCAGCTCCAGCCATTCCAGCCATCTGGGGAGTGAATCAGCAGGAGAACCTTCTCTATCTCCCCTTCTCTCTCTCTGTAAAATCTGTTTTTCAAACAAATCTTTAAAAAATGTGAGATTTATTACATGTGTTAACTTTCCAATAGACTTGGCTCATAAACAACCAGGAAACAGTTGTTCACGATTGTGCATTGATATGCAAGACTGTTGGAGTAATTTTGTGGTTTTTTTTTTTTTTAAGATTTATTTGTTTGAAGGGAAATGACACAGGTGGAAGGAGAAAGACAAAGAGAAAGATGTTTCACACGCTAGTTCACAGCCACAATGACCACAGTGGTGGGGCCCAAGCGCTTGGGTCATCTTCCACGTCTTTCTCGGGCGCATCAGCAGGGAGCTGGATCGGAAGTGGGGCAGCTAGGACCTGGCACCACACTGATGTCTCAAGCCTGCTAGCCTGCAAAACCACAGCTTCCGCTTCTTGGAATCTTGATGAGTAAAGCAGTGGGGATTCTGTGCATCTGACCAAACATGTGAACAAACAGGCAGATCCGCACATCTGCGGAGAAGTTCCGCACAATGTGTGGGGGAGGGGCCAAGACAGAGGAAGGCTCTTTTTTATCCTTACATAAAGTTGCATTGTTTTTCATTGTTGCAATGAGAACTGCTTAACTGGCCGTTTAAAAATAAGAGCATTTTTATTTTACAAAATCAAATTCTGGAAAGGAGAGGAGAGGACAACAGCCTCCCTCTGTGCCCGAGGACTAGCAAGTCCTTTGTGGCTGCCCCGCTGGGAGCAGACAGAATTATCAATCGCTGCTGGCCTGAGGCCATGCTCCGTGGCTCAGAACTGACAACCATTCAGGGACTCCGAGCTCTCCGCCACTTCTCGCCCAGTCGGCAGGTGGCACACAGAGACTGGGCTCAGGAGAAGCCGCTGCACATGGCCCCGTGGTCCTCCCTGCAGCCCAAGAGTAAATCAAAGGCAGACCCTATGGACTGTCTGCTGTGAGAAAGGCAACAGTCAGCAGATAGAGTTAAGTGACACACACACACACACACACACACACACACACACCACTCATCCAGGCACTTAGCCTGCAGTTCAGGGAAGGGATGTGCACTGAGTTGGCCTTGAGCTGTCTGCAGTGGGTAGGCAACCTAGACAATCACCTGGCCCCGCACAGGGTTCCCAGGCTGTGCAGGGGGCAGATAATCTGTTTTCAGAGGAGTTCATACACGCAGGGAAACACTGCCTGTTTTATAGGCTTCTTGGCATGTGACAGCGCTAGTGAAGGTTGGCATGTCTGCGCTGCTGAGAGGGGCGGGCCTCTGGCACAGTAGTGAGTGCACCTGTTGAGGGGCCGAGTTGAGTCACATCAGGTTAAGCCTCCGCTTGCAACACCAGTACAAGTTCACCAGCTGCTCCACTGTGATCCAGCTCCCTGATAATGTGCCTGGGAAAGCCACAGACTGGTCTGTATGGGACAACATTGTCACTCATACCCCACTGCCTCCCCCAGCTCTACCACCTGCTATACCCAGTGCCACACCCTAAGCCATCATCACCAGCACCATGCCTGCTGGAGAGAGGTTCTTCTTGTGTTGCAATAGTTGGGGCAGACTGGGTAGGGGAGCCCACCTGAGCCATTCCATCTGGCCCAAGGATATTTTTCAAAGCTTGTGTAATTGAAGGTAGAAATCAAGAGCATGGGGCTATGCTTGCCCAGGTCTTTGGAACAGCCCTGTTTTCACACACGGATGGGCTAATCCTTTTCAAGGCCATGAAGAAAGGGTGAGAAAG